CACTTTCAGCCAGGCAAAGTGGGGGTGAGAGGGTGCTGGGTGGAGCCATTGGGTCACCACTCACTGCCTCTGGGCTCAGGGTCTCCACTGGTCCTCCAGGAGAGCATTTCACTTCATCCTGGGGGGACCCTGCTCCATTGAAGTGCGTATTCACAAAGTGAAGAGGGGAGGAGAGCTCAAACAAGGCTTCCTTGACTACAGCCTCTTCTTCTGTATCCAGGGCTTGCTTTGTGAGGGCTGGAGGGGCAGTTAGCAGGTCTTCAGGAGGGGCCAGCTCTGTCTCTTCCCCCTCCCCCAGTTCTCGGCTCAGAGCCTCTTCTGGCTCACTTGGTAGGCTCTGCTGGTCCAAATCTGTGCAGAGAACACAGGGTTAAGAATGGGCTGGTTTCTCTGACTGGCCACAAAAGCCAGTAAGTTCACGAAGAAAACTTAAGAAGCCAGGCTCTGTGGCACATGTCTATTGTAATCCCAGCATTTGGGAGGTGGAGGCAGGAGGGATCAGCAGTTCAGGTCATCCTCTGCTATAGAGTTTGAAGCAAGCCTGAGCTATATAAGATCCTTTATCAAAAAGCAAAGTAGAGCTAGAGAAATGGCTTCGTGGTTAAGAGCACTTGCTGCTTTTGCAGAAGACCAAGGTTCGATTCCCAGCACCTACATGGTGGCTCACAACCATCCATAACTCCAACTCCAGGAGGTCAGTTGCCCTCTTTTGACTTCTGCAGGCACCAGACATGCATGTGTTGTGTACACACATGCAGGTCAAATACTCACACATATAAAATAACAGATCTAAAAACAATAAAAGGACAAAGACCACAAAGCAAAGCAAAGTGAAGACAGAATACTGAGCCAAGGTCTTTGGGGAGCTTAGGGTAAATTAGAGAATCAACTAGCTAGAGGAAGCATTTTTGGAACTCAGAGAACAAAGCCAGCAACAACTCAACATCAGGGAGCAGGAAGATTAAGAGGGTCAAAAGACTGCTCGTACCCTCAGAAACATCTGTCAGTTGTGGGGTGGTGGCCCGAGATACAGAGAAGCCGCCGCTCTCTAAAATAGAAGCCTCCTCATCCGACAGCTCTGAGTCTGTAATAGCCAAGGCCAGTGCTGTTTTCTTCACATCCACCTGCAGAAGAACCAGGATGAACCCAAAGGGAGGGATACAAACACTTTCCCCCAAGCCTTCCGGTCCCACCTACTCGAGAAGTGGTAGCTCTGAAGCAGTCAGATTCTCACCCCTCCCTCTGCCTCTTTAGTTTTTGGAGAAGGGGTCTTATACAGCCCAGGCTGGTCTCAAACTCATAATGAATTCCTGATCCTTTCGCTTCCACCTCTCAAACAGATCACAGGTGTGCATCACCACACCCAGCTTCCCAGAGCCTTCTGTTGGACACCCCACCTTCCCTGGACCTCACCACTGGAGAGAAGCCAGCCAACTCTGCCTCGCTCTCACTCTCTGTCTCAGCCAGGGGCTCATCACCTGCTGGGGGTGCATTCTTCCCTTGCCGCTCTAGAGAAGGGCAAGAAGGCAACGTGAGCAAAGACAATGGGAGCAGACAAGTATGACTAAGGAACTGGAAATGATTTAAAGTTCAGGACACATCATGAGCCATGAACCTCAGGCCCTCCCGCCTTTCCCTCCGGGGTTAAGGGAATCCCTCACTCCAGGATACATCATGAACCATGAACCTCATCCCCACCCCCCACCCCTGCTTTCCCTCTGGAGTTAATGGGAACCCCTTACTCCTCTTGTCGTGTTTGTGGTGCAGGGCATCGGCTTCTGCTTTCATGCTGTAGTCCAACTGCATGAGCAAGGGTTCCAGGCGAGTGTACATCCTCTGGATCAGCTCATGATAAACCACCAGGGGCCACAGCAGGATACTCAACACTAGGGGTTAGAAAGTTCAGAGCTCAGCATGCCAATTTCCCAAGAGCCTTCTTTAAACTGTCCCCTGGACAGGCAGGTCTAAACAAAGATGAGATCCTTCCCCAAGGCAATGACATCCTCTTCCCTCATCTCCTACTCTCCTCCCCAGACGGGTAACTGACAAAGAAGACCCAGTCTGTCCTCCGGGTCAATCCAGGGAAAGAAGAATAGGAAGGGCTTTGGAAAGGGCAGGGCTGGCCTCCACTCACAGACAATGTAGGAAATCATAATCCCTGGAACATAGTGTCCCAACACAGCTAGCACAGCACAGCCAGAACAGACTCGAGCACAGAACTGCGGAGAAGAGCACAGGTCTATGAAACCCACTGGACTAAGCCATGTGCCCCGTCACCTAGGGAAGACACTACTCATCGGCTGAAGAATGGGGCCAGACTGGGAAACTACAACAGACACCGCTCATACCGCTCCTCTCCCATCCCCTCTGGCTCAGGAGCAACCGCTACAGGATGAGGGTTACCTGAGCTGGATTCTGCCTCTTGTACTGCAACAGCTCTTGCAGGTGAATCTGGAAGGTGAGCCAGCTCTCAGCCAGGTATCTGCACAACTCGGGCACACTCAGCAGGTGCGGCTGGGCGCCTGACCCCGCACCCTCACTGGGGAGACATGACATGACCCCTGGAAGCCTCAGAAACCAGCTTTCTAAGGCACTCACATCACTTTGAGATTGCTGACGAGCTCTTCAATCTGGAGACGTGGAAAACCCCACCTCCCCCAGAGGAGGTCACCCTCGTCCGGGAAAGCAAATTCCCAGGGTACTCACTCAACTCTACCTCCACAGGAAAAGGCCCATAAAAGCCTAGGGTCAGCACACTTTCGCTTGCTGCAAGCCCCTTCACTATACTGGGGCCTAGGCCTGCAGAAGTGGCAGTCTTGCTCCTCTAGGAGCTGACCCGAACATAGCAAGCAGACCCCATGTGGGCATCTTCTTTAAAAGGTGGTCTATACTCACCTGTCAGAGTGTGGTTCCTCAGGGGGTGATGCTATAGAGAAAAAGGGGCACTAAATTAAGACTGCAAGAAGCACTGAGAGACAGATCCCAAATCAGAAAGAACTGCCTCTCCCTGGCATTGTTCACATCAAATTCTCAGTGATCCCCGGCTCTCACTTAAGGCATGAACCACTACACGAGGCACATGCGCTAACAACAGGCTGTACTACATGTTGCTTCTGCACCCCTTTTTCTTTTTCTTCTTTTTTTTTTTTTTTTTTTGGTTTTTCGAGACAGGGTTTCTCTGTGTAGCTTTGCACCTTTCCTGGAACTCACTTGGTAGCCCAGGCTGGCCTCGAACTCACAGAGATCCGCCTGGCTCTGCCTCCCGAGTGCTGGGATTAAAGGCGTGCGCCACCACCGCCCGGCTCCCCTTTTTCTTTTTTGCAGTACTTGGAACTGAACCTGAGATAAACATCAGGCAAGTGCTGTACCACTGAGCTATGTCCCCAATCCTTTCCTTGAGACAGGGTAGGCCTTGAATTTGCACCCTCCCCTGCCTCAGCCTCTTACGCAGCTGAGATGGCAGGTCTGTACCGCCAGGGCTATCTTTGTCTCCTCCTTTAGACTTAGCCTTTATCAAACACAGAAGCCCACACTTCATTCGTCTGTGTCCCCAATAATTTGTACACAGCCCAATACATAGTTGTTCCAAGATGCACATTAGGTGCGTATAAGAAAGCCAAAAGAAGACAGGCAGTGGTAGCACACGCCTTTAAGCCCAGGAGGGATTAATCTCGGGAGGCAGAGGCAGGTGGATCCCTGTGAGTTCGAGGTCAGCCTAGTCTACGGAGGAGGTCCAGGACAGGAAGGCTACACAGAGAAACCCTGTCTCAAAAAACAACAAGGTCCCTGCTTTTGCAATTCTTTACGAGTCCATGCACCTGATTAAGGGCAGAGTAGGGAATGTATCTCAGGTGCTTTGGCTACACACACTATAGTCTTTTATTTTTATTTGCTTTTTGAGACAATGTCTCACTCTGGCTGGCCTAGACCTCCCAGAGATTCACCGGTCTCTGTCCCCTGAGTACTGGGATTAAAGGCGTGCACCACAACAATCCGCTCTAAACTTCACAGTTTTGACTACTAAAACCCCAAGAACGTTACTTTTGGGAAAGAGACGATTCTCATTTCAGGCAATTTCTTAAAACGGGGATGGGGGGGGGGGGTGCACGGAGCATCCCTAGGAGGCGCAGACGGGCCTCGCTCGGTAGGGTGAAGCACACGGCCGGTGCAGAACAGTGCGTGCAGAATGAAGACACTCACCTGAGACGTCGGGGAGAAAGCGAGGATGCCAGAGATCCAGCAGAAAATAGGTCAAAAGGGAGATGCTGAGCAGGAAGAAGGGTCGGAGGGACGACGAAGACAGCAACCTTGGGGAGACAGGCATCTCAGCCACGCGTAGGTGAGAGGCTCCCAAACCCATGGGAAAGGCCAGGAAGACCCACTGATGGGGAGACGGCCCTCTAAGCCTTACCCGAGAGACTAAGACACGGGGCAACCTGATGACGGATCACCGCTCCAGCGGCTGACAGCCCTTCCAGGGGAGGGTGCACCCCGGTCCTCCCGCCCCCGCTCTCCCGCGCAGCCCGGCCCCGCCCCCTCCTCCTCCTCCTCCTCCTTCTCCTCCTCCTCCTCCTCCTCCTCCTCCGCGGCCGTTACCAGAAGAGGCCGTTGAGCGCGGCCGCCGTGACCAGGCTGTGCAGCGGCTTCTCCCACACCAGCAGTCGCTGCGCGGCCGCCAGCACCGCCTCCCAGCCGCGGAGCCGCAGCCACAGCGACGTGGCCAGGCGTCCCACCGCCTCGGCGGCCGCCGCCGCCTCCTCCTCCGCGTCGCCGGTGGCCTCCCCCATGCTGAGGCTCAGCCCCAGGCCCAGCCCCGAGGTCCCACCTGCGCCGGTGTTACCGCCGCCGCCGCCGCCGCCGCCGCCGCTCGCCATCACCGCGCCGCAGCCGCTGCCCGAGCCCCGCGAGGAGCCAGGGCTGCGCGGCCGCCGCCGGGGGCGCGTCAGGCGGAAGGGGGCGCACGCCCGGGCGAGCCGAACCTGCGGACTGGCGTCACGTGACCGGGGGGGGCGCGCGCGCGGTCACGTGACGCGACCCAAACAGCCCGGATGGGAGGCCCGCGCGTGCGCAGGGGCGGCGGCGGCGATTTCCCGCACCCACGCAGGTGTGCGCCCGGGCTGCCACCCCGGCGCCGGCGTTTGTTGAGTCTCCGCAGCCTGCGGTCTTCTCCCGGTGTCGTCAGGGCGGCTGGGGAATCTGCGGGCGACCCGTATCTCCCGTGCGACCCCGCCCGGTGGAAGTGGGGGCCTCCAGGCGCCCAGGATCCTGGCTAGGATCTGCTCCGGCTCTGGAAGGGCGGCGGCATTGCCATTACTCAATCCTCGTCGCCTCCAGTCCCCTCCCCTCAGCGGATAAACAAAACACCAGCGCGTGACTTTAATGCCTTAAGAGCAGCCCGCCACACCAATTTAGAAAAAAGTTGCTTCTTCCTGCTCCGAGCGTCGGCGCTCTTTCTTCCCCAAATCTTTCGGCGGCAAATTGGGTGGAAGGCGTGTTTGAAAATAAAACCTCATTTACGTGCTGTTTACTTTTGGGGAGACTTGTTGACATCGTCCTTTGAGGCTTCGTATCTTTTGAGATCATTTAATTTGCTGGAGTAACCCTACAAAATACAGTATGCATTCGGGCTTTACAATTTCAAACTCGTAAGGGGCATAAAGGTTCAACAGATTCCCTTCCACCTTATCCACAGTTCTCCCACGGGTAAGTTGCTTGTTCATCTTTCCTGTGCATTGCTGAGTGCGTGCATCTTCCCTACTAAATCCCGGGAACAACTCCTTGTGTTACCCCTTGTGTTAGTCTCGCTAATATCGGGCACCACTACCACGACGTTTGGCCAGCTCGTTCACCCATGGTGCGTCCCGGTCCCCTGGGGAACCGTAAATCCAAAAACCAGACCCTGGTGCTTGAGGCTCCCGAGACCCGGAGCTCTCGGCGGGAGGCTGGGCCGGGCGGTCGGCATTTCCTGCCCGGCGGGCTGACTCGTCGGCGACACGCCCGCCGCTTGTAAACGCCAGGCGGACGCAGCACGGGCTGAGAACGCTTCTGGCCCTCGGACCTCTTCCTACTCCGCCTGGTGAGCGCCGCGCCGATCGTCGATCGTCGGGCGCCGGGAGGCCCAGGCGCGCGCGGAACAGGAAGAGGCGTCCTGCGGCTGCCGGCGAGAGGGGAGGAGACTGCGCGGACCCGGGCGGCGGCCCTCTCGGGAGAGGCGGGCAGGTGGGCCAACGGGGGAGGACGGCTCTGTCCGCAACTTACTGTTCCTTTTCTCCCCCTCCACCTTCACAGGGGGGCGGCTGACGGCGGCGCGATGGACCTGGCTGGGCTCCTACTGGACGAAGAAGGCACCTTTTCCCTCACCGGTTTCCAGGACTTCACGGTGAGAGCACACTGTCCGCCTGTCCTTAGGTTGGGAGTCGGGACTCCGGGGCGTTTCCCTCCGGACCCGAGCGGAATGGGAACTGTGTCACTTGCCATGCCCCGGATTGGGCAGCTGTTGAGAGCAATGCCTACTCGAGCCCCGGGCCACTTGGGCCTGGAAGCAAACCCTCAGGTTATGGGAAGGGAACTACGGGTGGTTAGACTAGGGTCCATCTGGGTTCTGGTTTTCTAGTCTTCTCCTGGGAGCCCTTAGTGATGACAGGGTGTCTTTCTTCCTCTCCCTGAGGACAGGACAAGGCTACCATTAGCAAAAGATGCTGGGAACTTGGAGCTGGGTGGGGCATAGGCCCAGTGGCAGCAAAGCTAACTTGCTGTCCTGTACAGCCTTCCAGCCCCAACCCAGGACATCCACCAAACCCTTCCCTGCCCTTCACCCTCCACTACTGGCCCTGTTTCAGTTCCTTCCAGGACACCAAAAACTGAGTGCTCGAATCCGAAGGAGACTCTATTATGGCTGGGACTGGGAGACAGATTGCAGCCTGGAGGAGCTCTCCAGCCCTGTGGCAGGTTAGAGGAGTGTGTGTGTGTGTGTGTGTGTGTGTGTGTGTGTGTGTGTGTGTGTGTGTCTGAGCAAGTAACTTTGAGGGCAGGGTTTTCAGTAGTCACCCAGATGCCTAGAGTTTTGCTCTCTGAGCTGCACTGTGTCTCATAACTACCTCACTTGGTGCTTGGTTTGACAATGCAGGACGTGTTTCACATTCTTTTAGCCCACGTGAGTAAAAACAGCTCATAAATTGCAGTCTCTTATTTTTAGGGCCTTGTGTATGCTAGGCAAGCATTTTACCATGGAGCTATACCCCAAGTCATGCTGCCCTTTTGACTTATAGGTCAGAAACTTAGGTTTTCTAATTATATTTGTTATGTTTCCCAAGTAAACAAAGCACAGTTCTTAGATGAACATTAGTGAAAGATAAACACGAATAACTCAACAGAAGAACAAGCTTTCCTACTGAGAAAGGCTGAGAATCAAGCTTGGAATGGGCTTGTATCTACTTAGAATTGGAGAGGGGCGGGTATGGTGGGGAAATTAAGGATGAAAGGTTGAGACAGTGTCTTACTACATAGATCTAGCTAGCCTATAACTCACTATAGATCAGGCTGGCCATGGAGTAATCCTCCTCCTGCCCCTTTGTCTAGAGTATTGGGATAACAGGCATATTTCACCATGCCCTCCCAGCTTAGGAGAATTTGACTTCTAGGTTTCTGTGACAGTCATGTCCCTAAGGCCCCAGATACTACAGACCTAGGTCTTCCCTGACAATTATAGGGACTGGTGTGTATGTTGGGGGGTTGACTATTCTGCCCCCGCCCCCCATCTCCTGCAGACATTACTGTGGAACTTCTTCAGAAAGCAGCACCTAGTCCTATTCGCCGACTCCAGAAGAAATATGTAGCTCATGTGTCCCGGTAAGCCTGGGATTGCGGGGATAGAATGGGGAGAGAGAGAGAGAGAGAGAGAGAGAGAGAGAGAGAGAGAGAGAGAGAAACAGGTGTTATTGTCTCTAAAGAGAAAGTGTAAAGACAGATGAGCGTCCTGAGAGTTGAAAGACCCTTGGGTTTAATTACTGATCCTTCCCACCTCCCAGGGAGGCTTGTATCTCCCCTTGTGCTATGATGTTAGCTCTGGTGTACATTGAGCGGCTCCGGCACCGAAACCCAGACTACCTGCAGCACGTGTCCTCTTCTGACTTGTTTCTGATCTCCATGGTAAGGTGTCCCCTCCTTTTATTTCCCTAGTGAGCCTGGCACCAGGTAAGAGCTCCCCTGATGCCGCTTCTGGCTTCTCTACAGATGGTGGCCAGTAAATACCTTTACGATGAAGGGGAGGAAGAGGAGGTCTTCAATGACGAATGGGGAGCTGCCGGGGGAATGGCTGTGCCTACTCTCAATGCCTTGGAAAGGGGCTTCCTGAGTGCCATGGTGAGTGGTTCTTATCTGTCTTTTTTCCCCCTTTATTCTTTGTTTTCTCTCAGCTTTCTGTTGTTGTCTTTAGCACTCTCTCTCTCTCTCTCTCTCTCTCTCTCTCTCTCTCTCTCTGTGTGTGTGTGTGTGTGTGTGTGTGTGTGTGTGTGTACACACCAGTACACACCAGATAACCTCCAGTGTTCTTCCTGAAGAACTGTCTACCTTGCTTTTTGGAATGGGGTCTCTTCTTTAGCCTGGTACTCATGGGTTAGGGCAGGCAGGCTGGCTGACCAGCCAGCCTCAGGGATCTGCTTGTCTTTGCCTCCTTAGTGCAGAGATAATAAGTGCATGCCATTGTGTCATGCCCACTTGTTCTATGTGGGTCTGGGGCCTCTCAGTTTCTGATGCTTGAATACACGGTCTTTACTAACTGAGCTAGCAACCATCCTCCATTTAATTTTTTTTGTTGTTGTTTTTTCTGCCAGGTATGCTGTACACGCATTTAATCCCAGGCAGAGCTCTTAAGTTCGAGGTCAGCCTGGTCCGTTTCAGGACAGTCAGGGCTTCATAGTCAGACCCTGTTTCTTTTTTTTTTTTTGGTTTTTCGAGACAGGGTTTCTCTGTGTAGCTTTGCGCCTTTCCTGGGACTCACTTGGTAGTCCAGGCTGACCTCGAACTCACAGAGATCCGCCTGGCTCTGCCTCCCGAGTGCTGGGATTAAAGGCGTGCGCCACCATCGCCCGGCTCAGACCCTGTTTCTTAATAAATAAATTTTAAGTTAGTCTGTCCTAGAACTCACTGGGTAGACAAGGCTGGCCTTGACCTTGTTGATGAATCTCCTGTCACTTCTGAGTTTGTTTCCAGTGCTGATTGTAGGTGTACGGACCACACCTGGCTTTGCATGGCTGTCCCTTGTGTCTTTTTGGCAGGGTCTTCCTTTTCTGTTCTTTCAGGACTAGTTTGGAGGCTTCTGGAACAGTGAGTCCAGAAGTCGCGTCACACCCTCTTCCTCTAGGGCACACTCTGAGACAGGCCCTGTCGTGTTGGCCTCTGAATATTTGCTTCCAGACCTTTTCCACCTTAGACTTTGAGCTCCCTGTGGACACTGACCATTCTTGGGTTTATTTTCTCCCTTTGTACTTTGTAGAGGGGGTGATTAATTCGAGGTCAGGTAGGTAGTGATCGCATGATAGAATATACACAAGCTCTTTGGATAGTAGTTAGCACATCATTTCAGCTGATGGTTGTAGCTGCTCCGATCAGGCCACCATGGCTTGTATCTGAGCTTAGCTTGTGCTCTTCCCTGTTCTTATTTACTTAGGATATTTTGAGATAAGCTTACACTATAGCCCAGGCTGGCCTAGAACTCACTATGTAGCCTAGGCTGGCCTGTAACTTGCAGCAATGCTTTGGCTTCCCAAGTACTGAGCTTGTAGGGATGAACTACCATCCCTGCCTTTCTTGTTGCACACAGGATTGGCGTCTCTACACTGATCCTCGGGAGATCTTTGAGGTGATGAATTGGCTGGAGAGCTGGTGAGTTCCAGGAATTGGTAAGAGGGGTTTGAGGCATTTAGAGGCGTAGGCTAGTGCCATAGGAGCTAGAGATGAGGTCTGTGTGGCTGGGAGAAAGAGAAAGAGAATTGTTGAAAGTAGTCGACCTCTTCTGCCCTCCTTTGGTGGTGGTAGCAGCTAATTTGACATTTAGGTCTTGGTCTCATCTTCTGGATCAGTGGGTAGCCTAGGGATCTGTGTATTTGACCAGCTCCTTAGTGTCTTCTGATGGGTCCTGATGGGTGCCCCTGAGCTCGCTGCAGGAGAATTCCCAACCCTTGGTTTCTCCCCCCCTCCTAGCGTGGCTGAGCAGCAAGGGCGTCGGCGTGGCTGGTACACCTACACAGACCTGTGTGTGCTGCTGGAACAGCCGGCATGGCAGCTATCTCTGGGCTCCCTCTGCCAGCGGCTGGTAAAGGTGAGAAGGGGTTATGAAGGAGAGGGGCTTGAGAAGGCTCACTCGAGAGCGTGCGTGCGTGCGTGCTGAAAATCCTGAAAGGCTCAGAAGAAATTTGAAAGTAGATGGGAGAGCAGGGGAGGCAGAGGGAGTTACAGAGAGCTTCAGTGTGAGAGGCTGGGAGTGGGGAAGAGTTAACGATAGTCAGCGGCCCGATGTTTTCTTATCTTCTCTCCTGCAGCTGTCCTGCCTGTTAGCCGTGGCATATGTGAGCAGTGTGGCCCTAGCTGTGGCGTCGGTGGCTGTAATACACCAGTCCTTGGGGCTGTCCTGCAGCCCCTCCCCAGGTCCTCCTGACCTCAGACTGGTTTCCAAAGGCCTCTCGCAGCCCTGCATACCTTCCCCCATGCCACAGTGCCTGACTAATGTCTCCAGCTGCCCGGAAGGCAATGTAGAGTTGCCGTCACTCTGGGGCACTCTTCTGGCCTCACTGACACCCCCTCCAGTACCTCCCCCAGACCCCCCTGCCCCACCTACGCTTCTCCACAAATGCCCCTTTTGCCAGAAGTTCCAGAGAAATCCCCCAAACTGCCGTGCCTGCCTCCAGCCTAACCGTACGGTGTCTATTGGTCCTTCACGCCCCTTTTACCATACCCATGGCCTGGCCCCACCCTGGCTCTTGAGCCCGGTATCCCCTCCATTCCTCCAACCCCAGCAGTGTTCTCTTTTTAGTGTCATGGAGCTGGCCCGTCTCAAGTCTTTCATTTTCCCAGGCTAGGTAGCGTTCTGAGGAATTCATTAAGAGGTTTTGGGAGTCCCTAAGAACCTGGAAGAGGAAAACTTGATTTAGATTTTTGCTACCTCTCTGGGTCCTTGGCTAGTCTCCTGTCCTCCTGAGTAGGAACATGGGATTATGGGGCAGAGCAAGGTCATTCGCCCTCCTAGACCTCAGAGGCTGGCTAGTGGGTTAGGACATTGATAGTGCCTGGTACAGTTTCAGCTCAGTGACCAGTGGCATGTCACAGATGACAGGGAAGTACCTATCTTTCTGTCTTCTCAAGCCTGGGGGGTGGGGTAGACTTTTGCTTTTGTTCTTCCAAAGATGGAAAGGTAGAGGTGGGAGGTGTGGGAAGTGGATGAGGGGGGAAATGAACATTCTTGTAGTTCTGTATTTGTGATGTCCCTGAGGCAAGAAAACCAGGGACGGATGGTACCAAGGTGGGAGCTGCTGAGGGAAGGCTTCCGGAGGCAGGAAGCTTGCCACGCCCATCCCTTGGATGTAGTTGTCACAGCCAAGGATTACGGGGCCCTTCAACCTTGTCCTTTTGTCTTCCAACCTTAGCATCCTGCTCCAAGGCTTCCCACTTGACCGGTTCTTTTCTAGGTGTTCTTCCGGGCCTCTCTGGGCACCACTGCTTTGTATCTGAGTTTTTCACGCTTTTGTAGAACTGAGGTTTCAATAAACAGTTTCTGTCGCATGGCCTGGCCTTTTCCTTCTGCACCATCCTTTGAGGACCTTCTCTCATCTGCCTCCCAAGTCAGATGCACTGTCCTGTCAACGCATAGCGTTTTCTCTGATCTCTGTTTCAAAACTTCCTGTTAGTTTGAAAGTTACTGGTTCCTGTTTCGAGCTTTCCTGCAACCCTACTGCTCCTACCTTGGGGGCCCTGGGATTGCTGGATATGGCCTACCATGGGATACCAGCAATGACTGTCCCAGGCCTGGGAAGGCCTTGTCTGCTGTTGCATAGGTACCAGCCTTGTAGATCGTTATGGTGTCAAAACACATATCCGGTTAGCGCCTAGAATACGAGCCCTGCTGACCTCTTCACCAAGGTGACTCATGGAAGTAGCTGGTTCTGAAGAACCAGAGCTGGGTCATCAATAAAAGAACAGTCTATGGTGTGTGGACTGCTAGCTGACTGCCAAAGATAGTTGAGGGGGTGTCGGGGGTAGGAGTACATGTCAGTGGACTGGTGGGTGCTTCTGTCCCCAAGGGTCATTGTGGACATGTACTCATTTTATTTGGTTGACTCTTTGGGAATGCTACTGGCATTTGTTCATCTTGAGTGGGATGCTAGACACCCTAAAGGGTTAAAAACCTCCTTTACTGTGAACAGTTCCCTAGACATCATCATGCAGATGAAAATCCTGTTTTATATGAGCCTGGAGTTGGCTGCTGTTGGAAATGGTCTCACGAGGTTCAGGCTGATCTGGAGCTTGTGATGCACTTACATCTGCCTTCAGAGTGTTGGGGTACAGGCATGTGCCACCACCTGTAGATGTAACCAACTGTCTTATTAAATAAGAAACACAGAGCCGATTCAGAGAAGAAAGCCAAGAGGTCAGAGCTAAGAGCCTCACCCTTCCTGATTCAGCGATCCTCTTCAGCCAAGAGAGCTCTCCGAAAGGAACCTGCTTCCTGTGTGTATGTCTTTATATAGTCTAGCTGTTCTGCCTTCTCATTGGTTGTAAACCCAAACACGTGACTGCCTCGTCACTGCCTGTATGTACCGCCCTTCAGGTCCTTAAAGGCGTGCACCACCGCTGCCACGCACTTGCTATGGCTCTAATAGCTCTGACCCCCAGGCAACTTTATTAACATACAATTAAAATCACATTTCAGTACAAGTAAAATACCACCACAACCACCCCTAGTCAATTCTAAGGATTTTTTTTTTAAGTGCAAACATGAAATATTTTTGGGTATTTTAGGGGGGAAAATGGAGGACTCAAACCTACACAAAGAATTGAATGCAACAAAGGAATGTTGGGAATGGGAGTCTTCCCCAGGGAATGGCATACCCGTTGGTTATCCAATTCCAAATGGTCAGTTCTGGAAACACACCTATGAGTAAAACTATACAGACTGAGCAGGTTATTGTTAGTAATACATATGTGGATATACATATATTTGTATAATAATAAAAGGGCCATGAATTTGAAAAGTGAGGTAGAGGGGTATCTGGGATGGTTTCCAGGGAGGAAAGGGAAGGCAGAGAGGATATAATCTCAAAAATAAAAAAAATTTTAAACATAATTTTCAGGGAATCATACTTCCATGTAAAGTAAATGTGTACTTTGTTCAATGTTTTGCCAAAAGTTTGCTCACTATTTTAGAAAACCTGGTCACCAATGTCAATCCTGCTTATGACGTGTCACTGACTGGCAGTGTAGCTATCACACCCACAGCGATCCTGTTTATAGGTGCGGGTGGCAGACTGTTCCATTTCTTCTGGTTTATTTGTGCCCAAACTTTCACATTTTGAAATACACATTACTATTGATTACTCTTGCTTTACAGTGAGTGCGTTTTACGTAGTGGTCATTGTCATACGGGATGTGGGCATCTTATTATTTATTTATTTTCGTTTTTCGAGACAGGGTTTCTCTGTGTAGTTTTGGTGCCCGTCCTGGAGCTTACTCTGTAGACCAGGCTGGCCTCGAACTCATAGAGCTCTGCTTCCCGAGTGCTGGGATTAAAGGCGTGTGCCACCACCACCCGGCTGATGTGGCCATTTTATGCATGAGTTTTGTTTTGAACTGATCCAGGGCATGTCGTGTTTGGTTGAGGAATGTGTACCTAATAGATGATGCTGAGTGCTGATGGTAAGAGGTAGTTGGCAAAATTTCTTCAGGCTATCTTGACAGCTCTCCCCTAACAGCTCCTGTTTCCAGAGCCTGGTCTAGAAGCAGGGGATATGGCTGGAAATTCTTGAGGGAGGGGTCCAGAACTCAGCTGCTAGGTTAATAGCTGATGGAATTTGCTCAAGAGCTGGGCAAAGGTGAAAGAGCCATGTCCTGCTCCCAAGCCCTTATTTCTCTCTCTCCGCTTCATTGACGCCCCCCAGCCCCTCGCCACAGCAGCCAGCACTCCGCTCACACTCTGACCTCTTACTTTCCTCAACTAGCCCAGGGCAGCCCAGACACAGTCAAGTCAGGGCAGCATGAGCCGATCACCTCTCCATCCTGTCCCACTCCTATCTGTGGGCTCCCAGGATGCCCCTGCTCCCCTGCCACCACTGCTGCCCCCTCCCCAGAATCCCTCCTCCCACTCATGGGCCTCTCGGTGTGGGCCTTCCACCTGGGGCCTCGGCTGTCTTCTGGCTCTGCAGGTAGGAGGTAGAGGCGCTGGCTGAAATGGGTATTTGGAGGGAGTCAATGAGTCGTGAGAAACCCACGGATAGGTACTTCTGCGGCTCATCCCTCTACACTCTCCGCAGCATTTCCTGGTCCTGGCATCTCTGCTCTGTGCCTCCCACCTACTGCTGCTCCACAGTCTTCCCCCAGGGGGGCTCTCATACTCACCTGCTCAGCTCCTGGCTTCCAGTTTCTTTTCCTGCGGTGTGTCTACGGTCCTGCAAACTTGGATGGGCAGCAGGTGAGGGGCACTCCTTTGAGAGAGGGAGTAGGCTCCCAGAAAGAGACTTAAGGGAATCCTGTTGATGGTCACACGTTTCCAAACCTGCTGGGGCTGCTGTTCCTTCAGGCTGCCTCTAGTCCAGGCTCCATCCTTAGAATTCCTTATCCCCGCGCTGGTGCTGACAAACCAGAAGCTACCTCCGACCACCAAGACCCCTGGAAATGGTGAGTACAAAGTCAAGACAGGCTAGTGGCAGAAGTACGTGGTGGCTGGAGGTTGGGTGGTTAGTACTGTAGCTGAGCATCATAGAGAGAGAGGTCTTGGGCGTCACACCAGGCATCAGCTGGGACAGGAGAGCACTGAGTCTCCATTCCATTTACACCTCTCTGTACCCCAAACTTCCAGGCTCCCTCCCACTGCGCCTGTGTAGTTTGACAAGCTGCCGTGGCCTGGAGCTCTGGAACACTCCTCTCCGAGAGGTGAGTGCCTGGAAAAAGACTTCAGAAGGACTGGATGGTCCCAGCAGGGCGACATTCTTACTTCCATTACGCAGACACTGATGCTATGGGGATGGAGCGAGGCAGGAGCCTATCCTTGGAATTAGAAATTCCAGGCTGGACCTGGAGAGATGGTTCAGCAGTTAAGAACACCGACTGCTCTTCCAGAGGACCCGGGTTCAATTTCCAGTGTCCACATGGCATCTCACAACTGGCTGTTAGCTCCAAGATCTGACACCCTCACACAGACATGCACGCAGGCAAAACACCAATGCAAATGAAATAAAAGTAAATGAATTATTTTAAAAAAAAAAAAAAAGAAAAGAAATTCCAGGCTGAAGTCAACTTGGATGAACAGAAAGTCTTCTCTCCATCCTCTCCTCTGCTCCATCAGGTGTCGGGGGCAGTGGTGGTATCCGGGCTGCTGCAGGGCACAGTAGGACTTCTAGGGGTGCCTGGCCGTGTGTTCCCCTACTGTGGGCCACTGGTGCTGGCTCCCAGCCTGGTTGTAGCAGGGCTCTCTGCCCACAAGGAGGTGGCCCAGTTCTGTTCCGCTCACTGGGGCCTGGCCTTGCTGTAAGTGAGTCCCGAGAGGTGTGGGATGGTACCCAGTGGGTGTGCAGACCTCGGGAGGACAGAGCTTCTGGCTTATCAGATTCCACAGCTACCTGGGCAGGGATAGAGGTTTGAGATTTGGAATCCAAGGCTTTCCTTGAATTCATGCAGTCTTCCTGATATTCATAGTCACGTGCCATGGTACCTCAGGGTACCTCCCTACCCCTTCCATGAGGAGTTTCTTCCTTGGGGCCTCCTTTTACAATAGTCTGCTCCCCTGCATTGCCCGCATTCAGGATTCTGATGCTTCGGACCTGCAAAGCTCCTTCTCTTTCCTAGGCTCATCCTGCTCATGGTGGTATGTTCTCAGCACTTAGGTTCCTGCCAGGTACCCCTGTGCTCCTGGAGGCCAGCTTCAACTTCTTCTTCAACTCCCATTTATCTGCCTGTCTTCCGACTCCTTTCGGTATGTGGGGGCTCTGGGCAGATGAAGTGAGAAGGGCTGGCTGATGTGCATAGCCAGGTGAGGAGGCACATACCTGTAATTCCACACTGGGCAGGTGGAGGCAGAAGGATTCAGGAGTTCAAGTTCTGCTATTTAGGAATTTCCAGCCCAGCCTGAAATACATGAACAAAAAAAAACCGTATTGGCTCTCATCACACATGTGGGTGTCTCATAACTGCCTGTAACTCCTGCTCCAGAAGCCAAGTCCCTCTTCTGGCCTTCCAGCCGCTCCCCCATACACAAACAAAATAAAAATAAAATAGTTGAGCAAAGCGTGGTGGCGCACGCCTTTAATCCCAGCACTTGAGAGGCAGAGGCAGGCAGATCTCTGTAAGCTTGAGGCCAGCCTGGTTTACATAGAGAGTTACAGGACAGCCAGGGCTACAGAGAGACCCTATCTCAGAAATAAAACAAAATCGTTGAAACAGACAAAAGTGTGTGGAGTTGACCTGGAATGTTCCCTTGGTCCCCTATTTCTGAGTTTCTGGTGACCCCACGCAGGCTGACTCAGAAGGTTCTGGGGAGGAGGGAGCTCTTGTCCATCTCATTATTGCCCTTCAGGTGCTTACCCCTGTGGCCTGTGTGTGGATCATCTCTGCCCTTCTGGGTCTGAGTGTCATCCCCCTGCAGCTCTCTGACCCCACTGAGACACCATGGTTTTGGCTGCCTCACCCAGGTAGGTTTTTCCCTATGTTTCCATTCTCTCGCTCAAATCAAGGCTTCTATTTCTTTGCACTCGCAATTTCATAGACTTCGGCCCGGTGAGGTGGCACACATCTGTAATCCCAATACTTGGGAAGTGGAGGTAGGAGGAGCAGGAATTCAAGGTCATCTGCAGCTACATATTGAGTTTGAGGCCAACCTGGGCTACATGAGGCCCTGTTTCAAAAAGAAAAAAGTCACACAAATGATTTAGTGGAGCTCACTTTTTACTTCTGAATAAAATCTGTGTTTTCTCAAAACACAGATGGAGAAACCGCCATTTTGAGGGGTTGCTCCCCTCCCCCACTTCACTGCCAGTGCATTATTTGGGTTAGTGTCGGGAGATGTTATACCATGTATCCTTACTCTCCACCCCATTGCTTACTCCTGACATCCGTGACCAATGAGCAAGTTCACGTTCTCAGCCCCTGTGGACATCTCTGTTGGTAAACTGTAGAGTTACTGCCTTGGAGTCAGCGTATGTGAGATTTTTGTCACTCATGTTCATTTGTCATGGTGGTGGGGATCAATCATCTTACAACCTTGTGCAGAACACTCAGCAAGGGCCTTACATTGAACTCCACCTGAGCCCTTCACGGAACACTTTAACAATGGCCGGGTGAGTTCTGCTGAGGCCCTAAGCACATGGTAGGCGTAGTGATGAATACAGGAGTAATAATAATGTCTGCTTCACGGAGCTGACAGTCAACTAGGGGTATATCGACAGGAACCAAATAAGCAACTAAGTAAATGTGAAATTGTCATCGTAGTAAATGTACCTACGTAAAACTAGGATTTGTGGTGAGAGGAAATAATGGGGAATTTGATGCTATTAGCGGGGTTGAGAGAAGTGGGTTTTTTTATTTAGATTTTTTTTCTTTTTAAATTATTTCTTTTTTTTTTTTTTTCGGTTTTTCGAGACAGGGTTTCTCTGTGTAGCTTTGTGCCTTTCCTGGAACTCACTTGGTAGCCCAGGCTGGCCTCGAACTCACAGAGATCCGCCTGGCTCTGCCTCCCGAGTGCTGGGATTAAAGGCGTGCGCCACCACCGCCCGGCTAAATTATTTCTTGACATGTTCCATACATGTATACAATGTATCTTGATCATATCCAACTCTTCCTCCCACTGTCCCCAATACATCCCCATCCCATCTGCATGTCCTTAAAAAAAAAAAAAGACGAAAAACCAAAAAAAAAAAAAAAAAAAAAAAAGGCCGGGCGGTGGTGGCGCACGCCTTTAATCCCAGCACTCGGGAGGCAGAGGCAGGCGAATCTCTGTGAGTTCGAGGCCAGCCTGGTCTACAGCGCGAGATCCAGGAAAGGCGCAAAGCTACACAGAAACCCTGTCTCGAAAAACCAAAAAAAAAAAAAAAAAAAAAAAAAAAAGATTCACTGAGTCGGATTAGTACTGCCTGGATGTGCATGGGTATGGGGCTATCTGCTAGGGTCTACACCTCTGAAGAAAAATGACGGTCCCTACCCCAGCAGCAGCCTACTAGGGTCTACACCTCTGAAGAAAAATGACGGTCCCTACCCCAGCAGCTATCACCTAATATAGCTCCTCATCTAGGGGTGAAGCCTCATGAACCTTTACCTCACTCATGCTTCCATGCTGGACTCTTGAATGGCTTGATCTTGTACAGGTCTTGTGCAGGTGACCATGGCTGTTGTGACGTCATGAGTGCAATGGCCTTGTCATGTCCCGAAGACAGCTTCTCACAGCACTCCTCCCCATCCCCCAGTTCTTACATTCCTTTTTTTTTTTTTTTTGAGACAAGATCTCACATAGCCCAGGTTGACCTTGAACTTGCAATTGTAGCCAAGGATGGCCTTAAACTCCCTGTATCTTCCGAGCGTTGTAATTACAGGGATGCATCACCACACTTGAATGTGGTGGGAGAAACAGTCCTTGAAGAAGTGAGATGAGATGTAAGAGGTGGAGAGAGTAGGAGCTAGTTGGACAGGATTCAGGAGACAACAGCATGCTAGGTAAACAGCACGTGCAAGGGCCCTGTGGTTGTCAGGAACACAGCAAAGCCAGGGCCCAAAACAAGGCTAATGTGTTTGAAGTGTCTGAAGTAAGGTGGAATGTGACAGGAAATGGGACTAGAACAGAACTGAGAGTCAGCCCAACCTGGTAGATCATAGTGAAGAGAAGGGTCTGTAGAGTTCAGTGGTTTTGCCCCACAGCATTATCCTGAAAAGCTAGCGCATCTGGGATTCTTGTGGTACAGGCATTTAGGGGCAAAGGGATGCTCCAGGCTTGAGTCTGGTCTCTAGATGACTCCTTCTTCTTCCTCAGGTGAGTGGGATTGGCCCTTGTTGACGCCCAGAGCCCTGGCTGCAGGAATCGCCATGGCTTTGGCAACCTCCACCAGCTCCTTGGGTTGCTATGCCCTGTGTGGCCAGCTGTTGCATCTGTCTCCTCCACCACCACATGCCTGCAGTCGAGGGCTGAGCCTGGAGGGGCTGGGCAGTGTGCTGGCAGGGCTGCTGGGGAGTCCCCTGGGCACTGCATCCAGCTTCCCTAACGTAGGCACAGTGAGTCTTTTCCAGGTACGTGGATCTGAGACAGGACTGAGGGGATTGGCAGTACAGGGGCAGGAGCTCATAGTGGTTGACTGTCCATCAGCTGGCCCAGCTCTCAGGCAGGCAGTTCACTGAGGGAGGTGCCCAGATGTGCTAAATGCTATGAATGTAGAGAAACAGGAAATCGGTATGCCAGGTGAATTGGGAGCTCCGCCAAAGCTCGTTATAGTGAAGAATGAGTCAGAGAAAGCCCTGTTCTCTTGGGAACTTCGCAAAAAAAAGGAAGTACATAGCATAATTTGAGAGCAGTAAACACTGTCATGAAAGCAACGGTGTATGGGCTGAGCAAAGAGGTTCCTTTGGATGGAGTGGCTAGGATGCTTAGAAGGGTCACACTTAAGCTGGGATACAAAGGATGAAATGGAGTGGGTCAGGCAAAGATCTGGTATAGTCCAAGGAGTTGGCTGTGTTTTCTTGTGTCTCTTCTTCATGCAGACCGGTTCACGGCGAGTAGCCCACCTTGTGGGGCTGTTCTGCATGGGGCTTGGGCTCTCCCCAAGGCTGGCTCAGCTCTTCACCAACATCCCACTGCCTGTGCTTGGTGAGTGGAATAGATGTGAAGACAGGTATTAGAATACTATTTGGCCCAACCAGTTGGCTAGGCTTCTCTGAATGGATACGGACGTATGCTCTTGTTTTCTCAGTCGGACTGAGTCTCTTGCAGAACCGGAAACAAGCCTGTTGGTTATCTTTTCTCATGACAACCTGCCTGTCCAACAAACCCTGAACTTTGCCCTCATCCCACTGCTTTGTTTTCTTCTGTACGAGGCAGGTGGGGTCCTGGGAGTGACTCAGGCTGTAGTTCTGTCTGCTGGATTCTCCAGTTTCCACCTGGCTGACATTGATTCTGGACGAAATGTCTTCATCGTGGGTTTCTCCATTTTCATGGCCTTGCTTCTGCCCAGGTGGCTCCGGGAAGCCCCGGTCCTGCTCAACACAGGTAAATGGGGTGGACGGAAAAAAAAAAAAAGGAGTAGTGTTGAGGCTTTAGGCCAGTGGCTCTCAATCTGTATGTAGGTCATGACCCCTTTGGGGGTCAAATGACCCTTTCACAGGGGTCGCCTAAGATAATCAGGAAGCACAGATATTTATATTACAATTCATAACAGTAGCAAAACTACAGTTATGAAGTAGCAATGAAAATAATTGTGTGGTCGGGGTCACCACAACATGAGGAACTGTATTAAAGGGTCACAGCGTTAGGAAGGTTGAGAACCACTGCTTTAGGCTCTCTGAATTCTTGGTCTCACAATGGGATTTTGTATGCACTTTATTCATTTATTTAACAAATGCTCATCGAGCCCCGTGCTCCTGTTTTTTTGTGCTTTCGTGTCTTGGTTTTATTTCTGTTGCTGTGGTAAAGCACTCAGACCAAAGGCAACGTACGGGAGGAAAAGGTTTATTCAGTTAACAGTTCCAGATCACATTTCATCGTTGAGGGAAGCCATGGCAGGAACTCAAGGCAGACTCTTGAAGACAGGCCTGCTTGCTAATCTACGTGGCATTACCTCCAAACAAGGGACTCACTTCACAGCCAAAGAAGTACAGCAGGAACCATGGACGATGCTGCCTTATGCTCAGCTAACTTTCTTATTCAGTTCAAGACCACCTGTCTAGGGTTGGTACTGCCTATGGTGGGCCAGGCCCTACTAAATCAATCACACCAAGAAAGTCAGTCCCCTACAGACTCTTCTCACAAGCCAATCTGATCTGGGCAATTCCTCAACTGGGACTCTCTTCTCAGATAACCCTAGGCAGTGACAAGTTAACAGTTAAAGCTAACAAGTTACAAAACACCTCCCCTAAACACCTTTTTAAAACAAGCTAACTAGGTCAAGACACAAAAGTGCCTCTGGGTGGTACAGTGTTAGGAAAGAGGTGATTTGTTAGGGATATAGCCAGGCAGGTTAAGATAAGAGCTGTGAGTAGGGCGTGATGGATCATGCCTTTAATCCCATCATTTAGTAAGCTGGTGGCATCTCTGAATTTGAGGACAATAGTCTACACAGTGAGTTCCAGGCCAGTCAGGGGTGTATAGAGAGACCCTGACAAAAACAAAAACAAAGGACCTGTGGTACTCAATGACAAGAGTAGCTTCTGTCTGAGGTGATTCAGTAGAACCGAACTAGTCTTTGAGGATGGAAAAACTGAAACAAACATTCTTGGCAAAGGGTCATTTCCATGTGTGAGAGACAGGGTCTCATTTTGGAACCTAGACTGGCTTCAAACTTTTGGCAATCCTCCTGCGTCAGACTCCTAAGTGACAAGATTATAGATGTAAGCCACATGAGCAGCTGATAAGATCATTCTTTTCTTTCTTTTTTTTTTCTTTTTCTTTTTTTGAGACAGGGTTTCTCTGTGTAGTTTTGGTGCCTGTCCTGGATCTCGCTCTGTAGCGCAGGCTGGCCTCAAACTCACAGAGATCCTCCTGGCTCTGCCTCCCCAGTGCTGGGATTAAAGGCATGTGCCACCACTGCCCAGCTGATAAGATCATTCTTGATCACATTTCTATCATATACAAAGATAGAAAATAGGATTATGGGACAGAAGTAGCGTATCCTGAAAGCTGCAAACAGCATGGGTTGTCTAGAGCAGTGGTTTTCAACTGGGGGTGATTTTGTTCCATGGAGAACATTTGGCAATGTCTGGAGATATTTTTTTGGATGTCAGAAATGGGGAGAAAGAGGATTTCTTTTTAATTGTTTGTTTGTTTTGAGAGAGGGTTTTTCTGTGTAATAGTCCAGGCTATCCTGGAACTTGTAGACCAGGCTGGCCTCGAACTCACAGAGTCTTCCTGCCTCTGCCACCCAAGTGTTGGGTTTAAAGACATGTGCCACCACATCCAGTAAGAAAAAGGATTGTTACAGGCATTCAGTGCTTACAGAGGTTGTTAAACATCCTTTGAAGCACCGGACAGCTCCTTATAACAGGATTATCCGGTCCAAAGTGTTAGTAGGATTGAAGTTTCAAGGCTCAGGCTAGAGCACCAAAGGTCAGAAGTGGGAGAGACTGGGGCTTTTTAATGCCAAACTGTCCAGAGAAAGGGAGCCTGGGACAAAGGGTATCTGGAGGGTGTGTGGGTGCTTAGAAAACATGGTATTAAGAAGGGATCCTATGGGAAGGGCCTGAGTATGGGAAATAGTTTGTAGAGGGACAAAGTGGGATGGAATGATGGCTTAGTGAGGCCTGTCCCTGGTCCAAGACTTAGCTTAGGTCTGAAAAGGAAGATACATTGCCTTGGACAGTATTAGTTACTTTCCTGCCTGGCCCCAACCCTTTGCAGGCTGGAGCCCCTTGGATATGTTCCTGCGTTCATTGCTGGCAGAACCCATTTTTCTAGCTGGTCTTTTGGGCTTTCTTCTAGAAAACACCATTTCTGGTAAGTTGGGACTAGGTCCTAGGGGAGTGGCTGGGAAGTCATTACTCCCTGAGTTGGGTAATGACCGGACTAATCCCTCCTTGTACTTATTTTATTTTTTTCAAGGCAGGTTTTCTTTGTGTAACGGAGCCCTGGCTGTCCTGGAACTCACTTTGTAGACCAGGCTGGCCTCGAATTCACAGAGATCCACCTGCCTCTGCCTCCCGAGTGCTGGGATTAAAGACGTGCACCACCATGCCCAGCTTACTTATTTTTAAGGATTTATTTTCATTTTAAATTATGTGTATGCATGTGTGTCTGTGGGGATATGCATATGAATTCATATCCCTCCAGACCTGGAGTTACAGGCAGTTGAAAGCCATTTGATATCAATGCTGGGACTCGGAACTTGGGTCCTCCAAAACGAGTAGTATCAGCTCTTAACGGGGGAGCTATCCCTTCAGCCTAACCAATCCCTCTTTTGCAGGTACACAGATTGAGCGAGGCTTAGGTCAAAGGCTGCCAACTTCTTTCACTGCCCAAGAAACTCAGAAGTCCAGGGAGAAGACTGCTCAAGAGTATGGGCTTCCTTTACCCATTCAAAACCTGTGTTCCTGCATCCCACAGCCTCTCCATTGCCTCTGTCCAATGCCGGAAGACTCTGAGGATGAGGAAGGAGGGCCCTCTGAAACAGAAGAGATGGCCGACTTGTTGCCTAACTCTGAGGAGTCATGCCCTACAGCTAGCAGAGAAGGGTTTAGGTCCCAGTAATTACCAAGAGCACCATTTTTGTCTTTATTAGTTTAGCAGTAACTCTCAGCTTGCTGGAGTCTCTTGCCTTCAAGGCAATACTTTCTCCCAGTGAGAAGGTGTACACGTGGCCCACCTAGACGCACCATTTCCCAGTAGAATGGGCTGCCTTTCCTCCTCTTAATCAGGCTAAAGTGTTCAGAAGCAGGGGGCATGGGTTTAGTGAATAAATGAGATTTTTGCCTGTGGACTGTCAATGCCGCTTGAATGAACTCTAGCGTTCAAATATTATATCGAGTGCTTCCCACGAGCAAGGTCCTGCATCCACAGACATGAATATGACAGGGTCCCTGCCCTCTCCCTGCATTTAAGGTTTAAATTAGTAACTAAAATGTAAAGCAGAAGATAGTCTATAATACAGACGAAAATAACGATGAGGGGGCAAGGAGGAAGCAGTATTTCCTTTCAACTGGAAAAGGAATTAGGAAAGCAGCAGGGTTGCCAGTGGTCTTGACAAGTGGGTTTTCGGGTCCCCGCCCACCACAGGTCTTGGCTCCGCCCCCACCCCAAGACTCCGCCTTCCCGAGTGGGGGGGTGGCCTCTACCCTAGGCCCTTCAGTTTGCGCACGAGGGCAGGCCCGCCGTGAGGAGGGTGGGAGCTCCCGCAGCCGCTGACGGTAGGTAGGATCGGTTTCGAGTCAGAGCCGCGATCTGGGTCCGGTCGGACGCCGAAAAGCCGAGAGGAACTTTCACGGTGACCCCCTACCCGGGTGCTTTTTCCCAGAAGGGACCGCGCGCAGCCCGGGCTTTGGGGCAGGCCTCCAGGAGTGGGCGGTCCTGCGCGTGCGCAATCCCCCTTCGGCGTCAGTCTTCACGGGGGCGGGGGCGGCTGGCTCCTAATCATTAGCTGACTGGCATTTCGGCCCATTGGGCTGAATTAGCTTTGTTACCCCTTTAGGGTCCTGAGCCATACGTGCATGCTTCGGGTGCTTTAAAAATGAGAGGCGGGCGACCAAGGCCCTGCAGGAGTGGTGCATGGACGCCGTAGGCGCTCCCGGGGTGGCCTCTGGCTGCAGGGCCGAAGGTTGGCCCTCTCTGGTGGCACAGGGCGTGGGCCCACCGCATCGTCTGTGGGGCCTTGTTGCCCTCTGCAGGGTGTTGTAGGAACTGTCCTGAGGAGCACCCACGGCCGAGTGACAGAACTTCTTGCTACTTCACTTTCTCACTGTTAAAAGACAATCACACCGGTGAAATTGGTTAACGTGTTCTTTGAAGACCAACTTGGACTGGGGAACGTAAAACCCAGAGGACTTAGATTCCTTCTCCCACCACGCTGGAGACGATCTCAGGCCCCAATCCATTCTACCACGGAGTTTTGTGTTTTTTCTTTGTTTGTTTGTTTGTTTTGTGGTGTTTTTTTTTGAGAGGCTCTTGCTATGTTGGTCTCCAAATCAAGATCCTTCCTGCCTCAGCTTCCTGTGTGCATGCCTCACATGCTTGACTCACCGAGTTAAGCTTACCTCAGTCCAGGCTGAGTGGCAGGGAGCAGCCAGCCCGGGTCTGGTGCTGAATGCTTTACACATTTTTTTTTATAGGGCAAGCTGTCCCTGGCCACATTAAACAGCTTCCTCCCATTCAGACAAAACATTAACTTGTGGGTTTTGACCTTCGAGACTTAAGGAAGGACCAGTTAGGCCAATAAACTCAATTTTGGTGACTTTTAGAGTGCATGCCAGGATGTGCCTATAAGGGAAATTAGAGGGTTTGGCAACTTCATTTGTATTTCTAAACTTTTCCAATGTAAACTCTTACCCAGTGAAGACTCTTTAACTATTCCAAGACCAGTCTTCCCTGTTGGAACAGCACGTGATGGAAATAACCATCTCAACACAGACGGTTCCCAGGCTGCTGCAGATAACCACCATGTATGCAGTTGGGTGTCACTTGAAACGGACATACGTTTTTGAGAACTGTGTTATGAGGCAGTTTCATCACTGTGCAGATACATCACACACAGCGCGCATGCTTGGGCCAAGATGGCAGTCATGTCACTCGGTTCTACGATCTTAAAGGATCCCTGTCGTAAATGCAGCCTTTCTGACTCTATACATTTATGTTCTACCTGTTAATTACAGTGCAAATTAAGGAGTGCCATGAGACAGTGCTTTGAAAGCTAGGAAGGCTGATGGCTTCGGCTGAGTTGGAAATGACTGTTATATCAGATTTGAACAGGAATTTCGTTATTTTCTTTGTAGTCTTAAGTTTTCACCTCCTGGCACTTCACAATTTTGTATTTATAGATGAAAATAATGAAGGGAATCATATGACTTTTTTTTTTTTTTTTTCCGAGACAGGGTTTCTCTGTGTAGCTTTGTGCCTTTTCCTGGAACTCACTTGGTAGCCCAGGCTGGCCTCGAACTCACAGAGATCTGCCTGGCTCTGCCTCCCGAGTACTGGGATTAAAGGCGTGCGCCACCACCGCCCGGCTTCATATGACTTTTTACTCCCACAGGAAAAATAAATTCTGTCAGACAGACTTAGTTACTACCTATTTAACTAGCTTGAGGATACAGCAGTTTTCAATGATTTATCTTTATTTTTATGTGCATTGGCATTTTGCCTGCATGTATGTCTGTGTGAGGGTGTCAGATCACTTGGAGCTGGATGACAGACAGTTGTGAGCTGCCACGTGGGTGCTGGGAATTGAACCCGGGACCTCTGGGAGAGCAGCCCGTGCTCTTGGCCCCTGGGCCATCCCGCCAGCCCATAGCATTCTTTACTGGGGTAGAAATGTTGGTCTCTGGGAGTTCCAAGCTCAGCAGAAAGGCATGTTGGCGGTGTGGGCCTTCGTGTGGGGTTGTACCCAGTCATGTGAGTGGGGCTGTCTTTTGCTCTGTGGTGTGAACTGTGCTGCCTGCTCGTTTGCTGAAAGGGGCTTGGGGACGTTTCTCTCTTGCTCTTATTAACCCTTGTGTGTGTCACTGCTGCGTGTGTCTATCATGCCCCTGTATCCCTGTCATCAAATTAGTAATGCGATGATAGTCATGGGCATCTTGACTGTCACACTACCGTAATGCACGTACACGTGACTTTTCCATAATTGTAGAGGATTAACTTGAACGGACTGAGTACGAATTTCTGTTTTAGATAAGGGGGACTGTGATCAAAATAGATTATATAGGTATGAAATTGTGAGAGGATAATTAAATTAAAACTTCAAAATGAACCTCTGTTTTAGGATTTTTTTTAAAAAAACAGGGTTTTATGTAGTCCGGGATGGCTTCGCTTGAACTCACTGTGTAGGTTGAACTTTGGTTTATTTGGAAATTTCCTTTTCGGTTTTTTTTTTTTTTTCTAGACAGGGTTTCTCTGTGTAGTTTTGGTGCTTATCCTGCATCTCGCTCTGTAGACCAGGCTGGCCTCGAACTCACAGAGATCCGCCTGCCTCTGCCTCCCGAGTGCTGGGATTAAAGGTGTGCACCACCAACGCCTGGCTTATTTGGAAATTTTTTTTTAAAGATTTATTTATTTATTATGTATACAGCGTGTATGACTGCAGGCCAGAAGAGGTACCAGATCTCATTACAGATGGTTGTGAGCCACCATGTGGTTGCTGGGAATTGAACTCAGGACCTCTGGAAGAGCAGTCAGTGCTCTTAACCTCTGAGCCATCTCTCCAGCCCTTTATTTTGAAATTTTTTAAATTTCATTCTTTAAAAAATTTTATAGTGGGGCGGTGGTGGCACACACTTTTAATCCCAGCACTCGGGAGGCAGAGCCAGGTGGATCTCTGTGAGTTCAAGGCCAGCCTGGACTACAGAGTGAGTTCCAGGAAAGGCACAAAGCTACACAGAGAAACCCTGTCTTGAAAAACAAAAAAAATAATTTATTTATTCATTTCATATTCTCTTATCTGGGGATAAGGATATGTGTGTGTGTGTGTGTGTGTGTGTGTGTGTGTGTGTGTGTGTGTGTGTGTGTCTGTGTGTGTGTCTGTGTCTGTGTCTGTGTCTGTGTGAGTGTATAAGCACAATGCATGTAGAAGTCAGAGGACAATCTCAGAGATGGTCCTCAGGTGCCTCCTACTGCTTGTGAGATAGAGTCTTAGCTTAGAACTTTGGTAAGTAGGCCTGGGTGTAGCTGCCCTCTTCTCGGCCTTTCTTGGCCTCTCTCTTGTTAGTCCTGGGACTACAGGTACATACCACCCCACTAGGCTTTTTCTGTAGTTTCTGGGCATCTGAATCTAGGTCCCTGTGAGGCAGGTGTGTTACCAGTAGAGCCAGCCTTGGTCTCCCTCCTCCTTCCCCCCAGGGTTGGGATTATAGGTGCACACCACCACGTCTGCTTTAGGATTTTATTGTTTGCTTCCAAATTTCCTGAGTTTGTCTTCTTTCTTTCTTTTTACTAAAAAAATTATAGCACGGGCAGTGGTGGTGCACGTCTTTAATCCTAGCATTTGGGAGGCAGAGGCAGGCGGATCTCTGAGTTCAAGGCCAGCCTGGTCTACAGAGTGAGTTCCAGGATAGCAGGCCTTCATGGAGAAACCCTGTGTTGAAAAACAAAACAAGTATAGCACCAATAGATGCCTATGTGGAGGTCAGAGGACAACTTTTGGGAGGTAATTCTCTCCTCTACCGTATGAATCCTGGGGATCCAGCTCAGGCCGTCAGGCTCAAATGCCTTTTCCTGCTGAGCCAGCTCACTGACCCTAACTTTGCTTTTAGCAGCCAAATAATTTCAATGTCCAGCCCCTCATATTCAGGACTTAAGTTTTATTTATTTAGTTTTTTGAGACAGGGTTTCTCTGTGTAGCCTTGGCTGTCCTGGAACCCACTCTATAGACCAGGCTGGCCTCAAACTTGGAGAACCACCAGCCTTTGCCTCCCAGGTGCTATAATTAAAGGTGTGCACCACCACCGCCCTGGCAATTTTTTTTTTTCAAGACAAATGTCATTCTTTTCCTTCTTAAAGTTCTGGGATGGATAGCATCACACATATAGGATCCAAGTAAAGATTCAGCAGGATTGGCTTGGGTTTTCATATTATATTAAATGCATCAATATGCTATTTAAACACTATGGAAGAAAGAGATCTGCTCTTTCTTCCCCTTTCCTCCTTTGTTCCCTCTTTTTCTTCCTCCCTTCCTCCTTTTACACCTAGTTGAGTCTGTCTCCTGTATCCCCAGCTGGCCTGGGAATCCTGAACTCCCTGCCTCCATCTTTCAATGCTGGGATTACAGGCATGCACC